GGGAAATCACACGCTTATGGGCAGTCACTAGCAAGCAGTCGAGGCACAGCTCACACACCTACATGTTTGTGCCTCCTATATGCTAAGGCAGAGATTCTCATGCCATTTTGAGAGGACCCATCCTGCTCACCCTTCCCCTTTCAGCTGTGATGGCTGAACCTTCCTTGCTGCACGTGCCCATCACCTCTACGGCAGGCACTGGGCTGCCTCTCTGGCTGGAGAGTCTTAAAACCCAGCTAGCATCATGGATTCTGGCAGCACCTTTCTCTTTGTTTGTAGGACAGCTGACAGGTATAGCTGTGCCTCAGTGACACAGAGCAATACAAGGCTTGTCCTCATGGGTGGGCAGTCAAGCTGTTACGATGGTTTCCTGCTTTCTACCCAGCTGCCAGGAAGCTGAAGCCAAAGAAAAGATCAAACTGAGAAAAATCACTCTCTCCAAGGCAGATAGATCTCAGACCAACTCCCCAAGAGCACACCCACCACTAACCAGGGATGAGAGCAGATCCTCGCGCAAGATGCTGTGCTAAAGCTCACTGGAGGGCCTGGCACAGGAAACAGAAGCACAGCTGAACACTTTGCCAACTTCCAAAACCAGGGAAAATGGACACAACCAGAAAAATAAATAAACTGAGGATACCAGGGGTCTTGAGTGTTTCAGAGGCAGGTCACCACTAATTCCATGCCATTAAAGGGATTTTGGACGTAAGCAGATCTGGTCTCTGTGACCCTGGGGGTAATGCACCAGCCCATCCTCTGAGAACTAACCTGTTTTACTCTAGGGAGTCTGTAGGCTCACCGCAAAGTAACCAGGCAAAAGATATTCAGAAGGTGAGAGTAGCAGTCCCCTCTAGATTTAAACTAATTCCCATTTCATCCAAGAGGTTCCTACAGCTATCTGCACTAGCAGCAGAAAGTGCTGGGTACCTTCCCTGGGGCAGGGGGCTGCAGAGGTGAAGACACCCCTGCCATCACCAACAGCCATGCATCTGCCTTCTCCAGACCTTACTGGTCAACTGTGGTCCCACAGTGGTGACAATACAGCTCCCCGTCAAACTCAAGAGTTCAACAGCTGAGGACAAGAGGCAGGCAGCGGTTGGAATCTATGTGTTCCCAGCATCTCGGCTGGGAAATGGTATAGCTGAGCATATCTCCCAGCACAATTACCTGGGAAAGTGCTGAGCGCTCCTTTGAGACAGGTTAGGACAGGCAGCGCATACTGATAAAGCCACCAGCTTTTAAACAGAGCCCACATAACTCCAGGAGGAAGCTTACCGGCTTGCAGAGAGAAAGGCTTCCCTTTGGTCATGGAGACCAGCTAATCCTGAAGGCAGGCCCACGATACACGGAGTGCAGTGGCTCTCAGATGAGCAAAGGCTACAACAAGCAATGCCTCTGCTCAGGGAGAGCCGCCTTCCTCCTCTTACCCCAAATTGTAAGAACATAACAACATTCCCAGCGCTGATACTATCAGGATCAGTGGTTGTTTCAGCAGAGAAGCAAGAATAACTTGTTTAGCGCTTCTAAGGAGGCATGCTGCAGGCTGGGGACTGGGAGAAAATTTCTGCTTTTGACAAGGGTCCAGAAAGTTTCTCCCATTTTAGGATTTAGCATCAATTCAGGAGAGTGGAAAAAAAAAGTTTTGTTTTAAGAAGCATCTTCTTCCCAATCAACTACTGGACACAGCAATAGAAAAAGTTTTGAATTTATACACAGTGCAGCTTTTACACGTGCTTGTTTTTTGAATGTAGCTGTTAGCACCAAAAGAAATTGAGAAAAAGTAAAACCTACCAGCCCAGGCAGGGGGAAGCTGCATTCCTATTAGTGCTCTAAAAATGCACTCACTCCACTTAGAGCCCGAAGAATGCAGCCCAGATTTTTTTTTTCCACTAGAATTTGAAAAGAGTAAATCAAAGTAATTATAGCACTGCCCTTTCAGAATCGCTTTGCAAAGCCGAAATCAGAGCTTCAAAAGGTTTTTACTAGCAGCCAGCAAATCCAGAGAAGCAGAGATGCCTACTTCGGGCAGCTGCACTAGCCCCAAGACGTGCTTCATGAGCCACTTCCACATGGAAAAATAGCCTGGGTTGAATTAAAGCAGCTTATAAAGTCTATATTTGTATCTCACTTCCCCCAGCCCTTATTACCTACACATCTGCATGAAATCAGGATCATGCCTTCCAAAATGTTCCCTGGCTTTTGGTGCAGCCCCCCACACCCCACACTTACACAACATTCATTGTCCAAGAGCTCCAGAGCAGAGACGGACAGTTCATCACTCCAGTACTATGGGGAAATTAAAGTATGATTTATTGAATAAAAGGCCAGTGGTGGAAGCCAAAGCTGAATCCAAGTGCTTTGACTTTTGATGTAAAGGTTTAGTGCACTGGAGACTGCTGGCACCCGAACAGGGCAGCACTGCATCGTCAGCTCTATTTCGTTAGCGAGGTAATGACTGCTGACTGCTGATCCTGGTTTCGTGCAGAGGCAGGTAGGGTTCATGAACAAAGGCTTCTCCTCCACCATCTGCACAGAGATCCATCTCTCAATGAACCATGGACAGGGTGGATTAAAAACTTCAAATTCGAGAAAAATATTTTTCTTTGAAGTTGATATTTGTATTAACTTTCAGAAACTCTATCTAGGAATTGTTTAAATTAAATTTAAACAGCAATTAGGTAGTCCATGTTCACTGCCTAAGCTTTAAAGAACAAACAGAACTGGTGACAGTCACTGGCTTAGAGCATGGCACTAAATTTCAGTAAAACACGTTCTTTTAAGTGAAACAGAAACTGTGTTTTCCTCCTCCAACCAACCGACAGAGTTCTGAGAGGAGAGCTACTAGTTACAGAAGACTGAAAACACACTCTGTCCAGAAGCGGTTAGTTATATTTGGTAACTATAATACTACCTTTAGGCAACTATGATTCAAGGCAAAACTTGACAAGACAGTCTCTTAAGAGTCCAACATAGAGCAGTTCAACCAACGAGAATCCCACACTGCTGGTCTCGGTGATTCAGCTGCACTTCCAACACAGCTTGGTTCAAGACACAGGTTAAAAAAAAAAAAGTTATTCTTCTTTTAAGGATAAGATTTTTTTGCTATTTTAACATGACAAAATGCAAAACTAGGAGTCTGAAAATATAAGTTTTAAACTATATGCACACTCTTTACAGATGTAAGTGCTTTGTAAAATGCAGTAGGAAGTTTGATATGAAGTTTGCACTGAGCTGTAAACACAGATGTTTCATTGTTACTGACCAGTGACAAACAAACTCTCCTTTGGGGTAAACCAACAAGTGAATATGCAAAACAAGATTCAAATAGATTATTTAAAACAAGACTTGCTGATTTAAGCCACAGCTGAAGTCTGGCAATGTGAATACATCCACCCTGGCCATAGAGGCCCTCAGTTCTCCCCACAGACGGTTTCCTTCTTAGGTCAGAACCCAAGGAACAGCGCAGGGCAGCACGAGGGACACGGGCCACCTCTCCACGTTGTACCTGTATTAGGAAAAGAGGACTTCAATCTCCAAGGCTGCCATTCCAACACCTTCACTAGCACTAAATTCACAGGAAACCTAAGGACCTAAGAGACAGAACACGGAAACTTTTATCAGGATTTCTAAGGCATCCTGCTGCATTCAGCTCTGCTCAGGAAAAGCAGGATCTAAATAGAAGGGGTTTCAGAGTTTGTTGAGAGATATTTTTCAAGCACTTAAAAGGAGCTGATTTATGACCTCCCCAAAATAAAGGCAGCCATAGGCTTCAACAGAAGAAGAGAAGGGGCCTAAACAAAAATTCTGGATGGGGATATCCTCCAGTTTGGAGGAGCACACATCTGGATGGGAGCATAGAGCTTGTCTCATTTCTAAAAAGACACTAGTCACTGATCATTAGTGGGATGTTTATATTTTGCATAAAACACATAAGCCATTTTATGGTTTGTCATACATATTTCTCCTTGCTGAAACTTGCAGATCCCTTTAATGAAACATAAGGTTACGCCCAAATCCAGAGCACCACTGCAGAAGCCATCAGCACTACGTGCACAGAGCCGCTGACCAGCCACAAGCCTCTACTAGAGGAAGCCAAGAGCTTCTGCAGCCTGAATCTTCCTTTCCCCATAGAACAAAAGGAATCCTTTGTCCCATGGCCATCGGAAGCCTGCCATAACGTACCAGCAGCTCACGTGCACCCAACTGACACCAGGGAGAGCACGTTTCACCCACCTTAGCTCTTAATACAGAGAAGAAACTTTTCATAGTCTTATGGGACATAGTGTTGATTGCAATGGTTGAAACGGGCCAATTTAAATAAAAATGTTTTGAAATCTGTAGGGATGTGCTACCAGGATATGAGAAAGACTCCATGTTTTGATCATTCTTTCTACAGCTAGCCAAAGGCTAATATGTGTACCTGGCAGAAACCGCACAGCCAGGGTTTCAGGCAGTAAATCCTCCTGATAGCCATCTCACAACAGCCTGTGTTGAGATGATAATTTATCCCAAAAGGGGCTTTGTGTGGGCCTCAATTCCACACAGACTTGCTATGTAAATGTCAAACTGCACTTTACTTTGGAGGCCCAGATGCTCCCGTCAAAGGGAACACAGAAATCCAGCGAATTAGGTGATCTGGAAAAAAACAGGTAATATTTGAAGGGAAGGGTGGTTGGTTTTTTTTAATTTCATAGAACATGATGCTGACAAAGCACACAGCTGTGAGTTCCTCTCCTTTGTTACACACAGAATGGTTTCTCCACACCCAAAAAACAAACCAAAAAAGGGAACAAGAGAGGATATTGGCTATGTGGGGGAGAGAAGTGAAAGTAATATTCAAAGCTATCAGAATATATAAAACAAAACAGAAAAATAAGAGATTTTGCTCTCCACCATCTGTGGCAGCGCTGCCCTTGGGGGTAATTAACGAGAGATGTTTGACAGGCTCATCACGTGAGAGCTCCCGTGCCCCTCCACACGCCCACAAGCCCAGGACTTACACTGCCATGCCACCAACAAACTCTTCTGTAGCCTGGCAGTAGATGGTGATGGCAACGCGAGCATCCGCATCAAATGTGAACTCCAGGCTGTAAAGGACCTTCTGCTTTCCGGTCTCCTCCGTAGGACTGTCAACATCATCTTTATACCTGGAAGACAATGCCATAGGATTAGAATGCAAATTTATGAGATATCATTAAGATCACTCTGGAAATCAGGACAAGAGTACTCCAGCGTAGGTGTTCTGGGCAGTCAAGGCACCATGGGCTCCCAGCTGGGGCTTCCCAGGAAATTTCCATTCTTTCCTCTGAGGAAGGTTCTTCCAAGATTTGACTAAGTTATTAAAGTGAATTATGTAGTGATAGCATTGAGGGATCTCATCCAGCCTTACAGTGCCAAGGCGCAGAATGAGACAAGAAAGTGAACTTCTGAATGTCAAACCCTTAGGAGAAGAAACATTCTCCTTCCTTTTAAATCTTCACATTAGGCTCAGCATTTGGGCTACAGAAGTCCTGCATGAGCCTGAGAAGTCTAAAGCCAAATTCTTTTAACACTGCAAATGACATGGTGCATGACTGGCAAAAAACCAAGGCTTCTGTAACACAAAGAACTCCTGAAGCTCACTAAAAGGTACCTCCAGTATCGCACAGAAGATGATATTCACATCAGAAAGCATCCAAATATAGGAACTTCAAATAGCTTTAAATGTACAAATCATCAGCTAAACCTCTGACACTGCTAATGACTGAAGCTTGCACACATTTACTGTATGAACACATGATAACCAATACAAGAATGAGTTCAGAAGTTATTTCAATTAAGATAAAGGTGAGTCATAACTTGGCTGTGGGTTACTGTACAGCTGGATCCCACTGGGTGACCACCGCTGCCCAGTACTACTCCTTCTCCCTCCTGCAGGAACAGGCAGGTAACAAATGTGGTGAAGAGCGTGGTACGAAGCAAGCTCCAGGGCAGCGAGCGATGGCCATGGACAAGCAGCGAGTGATGGCTGCCAGGAGTGGCCAGGGAGACCAGCAGACCCTGGAACAAGTAGCCAACACAACACACCATGAGAAGACCTCCCCGTCTTGAAGCGCAAAGTGACAGAAAGAACGGAACGGTGAACGCAGCCAGTTGCCTTTGAGAGGTGCACAGCACTACTTGGTTTGCCGCCCTGCTCCAGCCTCACTTCGCATTATCTTAATTGCCACGATGCCTGGGTCAAAGCCAAGCAGCTAAACTATTCAGGAAAAGCTTGGCACCATCTCGGACTTCACAGTATCAGTCGACCTCTCCCTTCATTAAACAGCCTTGATGAATGTGCTGCACTGTTGAAAACACTCAGAAATGGGCTAGGCATACCTCCATAATTCAACTGAAAAACCGTCAAGGGAATCCTTATTTACCGAGTTCACCGAGATTAATAACTGCTGCCTAATTAAGAGGGTTCCAGCATGAATTTTATTTAACACCACAATGAACACAAATGAAATGTTCAGCTTCAGCAATTTAATACAGAATGTGCAAAATAAAATTTAAGAGCAGTGTAACCAAATACTAACACACGTACGTGTACTAACGTAACCCTAGGAAATCACTATAGCATACACTCACATTTCCGTCTGAAGGACTCGGAGAGCTCCAAAGAAGACCTTTGCCAGAGGTTCGTCTAGGTCAGAACAGCAAATCAAACTAGAATACACCCAACATGCTAGTGTAAGAACAACAAATCCCAAGAACTGAGAGTCTGAACATCGGCAGCAGCCTGGATACAGTGTGCAGTGTAGAGCAAGATGGTATTGTCACACAGGCTAGTTGCGTTCAGAGAATAAAATCATGGCACTTGAAGGATGCAAACAAGAAACACTCTAGCCAGCAGGGCAGGTCTGCCTAGAAAGCACAGGGGTAGCCTCAACATTTTGTGCTGGACTGACCCAAGAACACAGATGGCAACAATCCGCTCATGAGTGTTGTGAAAGCAGCAGCACAAGCTTCTGCAAATTATCTCTTGCTGCACCGCTCTCCATCGATCCGAAGTCGTCAGTGAAGGATCTAGGCTACGACACACTTGCCATTTCTTCCAGAAGAAGCAGGGTAGGGGAGAACCAACACAACTTCTGGGCAGGCACCAGTGAAGGCTACTTCACAGACCTACACTCACCGCATATATAGGCAGGTATTCAAACAGAGATGCCCGGCACCTGCGTGAGTGACCGATCAACACCACAAAACATACGGGTGCCCAGATCACCTCCTGCTCCCAGCTTCCCCTCTGCATCTCCTTGCCAGCACCCAGAACGTGCTTCCAGCCTTTCGGGAAGAAAGGGGGTTAAACCTAGACTAGAATAGATCTGTTGCCCTGGGAAACCACCGAGGGGCCACTACCAACTGCAGTGCCTGAAGAGAAGGATTCTGGAGGATGCATCTGCTGGGAAGAAGTAGAGTCAGAGCCCTGTCTGCCTGGAACATCTCTCGAGCAGGAGGCAAAGTACACGTGCCTGAATGGTGACAGTCACAGCAGGGCTGTGTACACATCTTCCTGTTGTAACACACCCAGAGCTTGAGGTTAAGAAAACAGCCTGCCACATAGCTCAGGTGAGAAACCACTGCATAAGCAGCTGTGCCAGCCGGTAGCCGAACCAAGGAACAAGAAAGGACTGGCAGAGACATCTCATGTTCCACCTGAGGTGCAGGAACGGTGGGATGTAACTTCAGGGAAGTAATGAGAGAAATTCACACATTTTGCATTCCTTCTTTCTTTGCAAGGAACATGGCAGACAAGGAGGTGGCTCAGGAGTGGTTCAAGAGCTCTTCTGTCTGCACCTCACTTGAAGTTCACAGTGTACGTTTAGCCAAGCCTTACAGACAGTGTTGAGGTGAGGTGGCCACAGATGCATGCACAAATTTAGAAACCAGTGACTCTGCCAGGTGTGCCCTTTGGTCATGCACACAAATTAATCGCATAGCCTTCACAATCACGTGTATACAGCAGAAGAGACTGACCACCTTCGAGAACAGAGAGCTGATCCAATGCTATGATGAAAAAGGCAAAGCAGGATGACCAAGGGAGCTGTGGCCACTTGGTCTGACATCACTTCTGGATAAAACAATGGAAATACTGGACCTTTTTGTTTGTCTGTTAAAGAATTAAAAGATAAAAACGTAATTAACAGCAGCCACGACAATTTTGTAGAAATAAGAGGTCGAATCAAACCCGATTTCATCCTTTGAGGATATTAAAAAGTTTGACCAACAACTCAGTAGACATGCAGGATAAATGCCAAGTATTGCTTGGCTTAGTATTGTGAGATATACATTACAACAGTGTTAGAGCAGGCACCAAATGAAGTAAGAACCAGCTGACATCTCTATCAGCTTTGACTTTCATGGGGGGAGATCATCATCAAATGGAGGCTTTCCTATCTGGGGGTTCTGCAGAGATCTGTACAGTTCAACGCTATTCAGGGCTGCAGAGCAAGCAGTCCCAGCACCCCCACCACCGCACGATGAACCGCCCCAAGGATCAAGGTCAGCCCTGCTGTGCTGGAGAGGGAAGAGAAAGGATTTCCCCTCTCTCCCTCACAATGACTCACTTGTCTCCCCTTGGTCCCTATTGCCATCCTCCCTCTTAGGCCCTTGTCCGAAATGCTTGGTGGTGTCTCTGCTCTCCGTGATACTGCTGCTGCTTCAAACACATTCCCAAACCGCCAGAGCCACTGATTCCTTCAGCACTTCTGTCCCACAATGCTGCCTGAAGCCCAGAGCCTGAAGCAGAAAGGCTGACCCAGGGTACAACTCTTCCATGAAACACAATGCCTCATGAGTGATCTTCCTCCTGCAACTGGAAGTGCTTCCAAGGTCAGAGAACAGAGCCAGCACCAGCCCATTAGGTGCTCCAGCTCTGAAGGAAAGCTTCCAGCCCAGGGCCAAAAGAGGGACACACGACAGACACGAGGCAGTCTCTTTCTGTTAATGGTTAACAGCAAAAACCATTCTGCTCTCCTCTGAGGTTCACGGAGTCTCATCCCGCTGGGAAGCAAGCACTCACACAAAGTGTCAAAGACTCAGAACTTCAACACCAATATCCACAGGTTTATTGCTTCTCTCCAAAGCTGCTGTAAATATTCAAGATTTGGCAAAGCTCAGAATCTTGTCTGGTCAGAGCAGGGCAGGAAGCCCAGAGTGGAAACCTCCTCATATTCCTCCATAAAGCCCTGCATGCCACGTTATGGATCAACACCCTCTTCACAGGTGAACAATGAATTTTCAATTAAACACAAGGAAAAACAAAAAGCCTGTGAGGACTTTACCATCAGAGCCTACCTTACACTTAGACACTCAGCTCAGCATCATTTTATTTGGTGGAGGAGGTAGTAAATTAAACTTTAACTAGTTCTGGAAAATGCGTAAGCCTCAACCACTGGCTGCGAATGAGCCAAGCTGGAGAGGGCACAAAGTGTCTTTAGGTGCACAGAGGGAGAAAGGAAAAACCTCTAGTCCAGAACAGTAGAAAAGCACGAGACAGAATGTGCCCTTGGAGACTGGCAATTAAAATCTCATTTTGGGTCTCCATCAGTATAAAATCAAATACAATAATGTTGGCGGTGTTGTCGTCAGCACTAACACCACAGCACAAAAGCCTGGAGAGCTCATGAGGCAGAGAAAGAACCAACGGTACTGGGAATTAGAAGGATGCAAACCTACACACCGTCAAGGTGCATGGACGCTGTATTTCAAATAGTCCAGAGCTGCAACTCTGCTTCAGGCACAGGACAGGCAACCACAGAAAGCACAGTGACAGAACTGTACACGCTAAACCCCACCGAATCCTCTTCTCACAGCAAGCTCTCTTCCAGCGAGAAAGCCACTTCCCATTCGGCTTCTCAGAGATGTTACGCTGTTTACGTGGTTGTCTGAAAGGGAAATGCAATACCCTTTCCACGGCGAGTCTGGGAGGAAAGCAAGACTTTTCCTAGAGAAATACTTCACCCTTTAGCTGAAAAAGCCAGACAGCATTCAGAGCAGTTCACCAATGGTTACTATTCCGTAAGTTCTTCTCTCTTTTCCTGTTCAATCAGTTTTGAAACCACGGGTATTGCTCATTTAAAAACAAAACAAAACAAAACCAACCTTCATTTTTGAGATAAAAAGAAACGGAGGGTTTCGTGTGGTTATGACTCAAAGTACTCACGTTACACCATGCTCTCAGAACCACCTTGGCCAGGAGTTGAAGCTGGCCTTCTGCCAGTACTCCAGCCCTGCACTTGTAACGCAGAATTTAGAGAGACTCCAGAGTCTTTGAGAAATGCTCTGCCTGGACATCTGCCCGGTCACTCAGACCAAAACAAAGCACTGTATGCTGGGCCCCTGTACTTCAGCCAGCTGTTTGGAAGAGGGCAGCCATGGGTCAAAGCGTTAGCCATTGCGTTTAATCCAGCCAGTGCTGTGTTAGATCTCAGTGTAGAGCAGTGAAAGGTAACAGACCTCCATGATTACCCAGACCTCCTTCCCTTCTGCATGGGACACAAGCCATTGCAACAAACGCATAACACTAGGAGCAAACTTTATCTTGGCAGCAGGAGAAACCTGAGGAAGTTTCACTCAAGACCAATCAGTCATCCTGCCCTGTGACCTGCACCAGGATCAGCTATTTTCTGGCTTCTCTTTGCACAAAGGAATCTGTCTGTAGGGTTTACTGGCCTGACTAATATCTTCCATCCATGCTAATGATTTCATGGTTTTGTTTACCACTCTAGTCTCCTGTAGGGACAGACACATCACTGGTCCTGTATGGAAACACAGATTTCTCAAATCTAGGGATAAGGAGCACATAAATGACCTGAAAGCTCTGATCACAAGGGAACACAGAACCCTTTGCACATGTGTACCAACAAGGATCTGGAATTCACCTATCTCCCCAAAACCTTATCAAATATAGTTTGGTTCTGGATACCAGATCACTGGGTCGAGTAAAATGAATGGTTCAGGCAATGACAGTACCTCACAAGACGGAGAGAGTCTTTGCGGATATTCACCAAACTTCTCAGTGTCTTCACAGGCTCATGTGGAGCTGGAGTTACATAGGGAAACTGGAACAAAAAGGCAAATAATTCTTCTATTATTACACTATAAAAGGTAGCAGCGTGTTACCTGACATACAATTTACCCAAACCAAGAAACACCAACATCGAAGGGTACTCAGTACAACAGCCAAAAGGAAGAGTAATAGAGAATTCTATTTACAGACAAATCAAGCATGTTTCAGGGTGAAAATCCTGCTCTGCCCAGCAATAGCTCACATTGGGAGTACACACTTTAAGAAAGGGCATTTTCACAAGCTCTTTTTCTGCCCCCTGAACTCTCAGTCTGGAAAGCCTTGCTCTCACAAGCTTTTATTTCCACTAAAGAAACTACCTCCAGCTTGAGCAGAAGAAATGCAGCTCTTTCATGTGTGTTACAGCAAGCAAACAGTGACTTGACTGCTAATCAGTATGCCGAAGCTCTGGATTACTGGGGGAAAACTCTTTTACTCTGAAACAATGGGACAAATGTTCTGGAAAAGAAAAGGAGACAGGGCTGGGGGGCCTCATTCTATCCTACCGTCAAAAGACCTTCTCTCACGGATTGTCCTTTATTTAGAGCATGGTAATGCTTCAGACTGTAATTCTCTTTACTGATCACAGAGTCTCCAGCAAGAAATGCAAAGGAAACTGCTTACTGGGGTGACCACAGCCTGTACAGCTACAGACCTGCCTGCCAGATCTCCCATTTGCTCGGGGAAGTCTGAAGCTGAAACATCCCCTCACTCAACTGCGAAGTTTGGCAAGTGCTCAGAATGAAAACACAGGCACGCTCCAAGTCGGAGCAATGGCATGACACAAAGGTGCAGAGCGACGGGACAGGTTTGCAGGCAGCAGGGTGCTCCGAATGACCCACCAACAGTGCCACCAAGCAGCCTCATCGGAGTTGGGGTCCTTCAAACATACATCTACGAGGAGCCCTGCAGAGGTGTAGAGAGAGTGACCAACAAGGAACACAAGTACCAGGGACTGCCAATATACGTGTTTTCTTAGAAACGTCCGCTAAACCAGCAGCCAACCGCTGCTGCAGCTGAACATCAGGGCAGCTCCAGGACACAATCCTTCAGCGTTGTCCCCTCAGACCAAAGAAACGTATTGGTGCGGCAAAAGCCAGAGCCCGAAGGAAAAAGGTGCTGTTTCCTGACCGACATGAGAACGGCACAGAGACCCCGTGCCACAGCCACAGGCAGCAGAGAATTCACAGGGCAGCAGCAGCCACTTCCCTTGCTCCCCGGCTGCTGGGTACTGTGGTTGGTAGCACTGCTCTACACAGAGCAGTCAAGACCTCAGTTACTCCAAAGTGAGAACTTGGCCCTCTTCCAGAAAGCAGTTTTGCTGCTCCATATTCAAGTGGTTTTTTCCTTGAAGATTAATCAGAGCTGCCAAAGGGCGTTAACTTTACATAGGCAAACCATATACCACGACAGCCTTCCTCTCTTAAACCTATTTGGCAATCGTCCTACTGTGTTAATAGCATTCTCACCCACTCCCCTCTGAAGAAATGAGGAAATTCAGTGCCAGGATGTCTACAAGTAAACCCAAGCTGAGACATGCAGTCAGTTTAACTCTGCAAAGTTAGTCCCCACAGCCGCAGGCACATGGGGTATTTAGCTAACAGCTGCATCTCCTCCTTTTGCTGGAGAGCTGTGCAGCTGCTAGGTGCAGAGCAAAGAAATGGTCAGCTTTTAACTGTCCTGCACCGGCCCTGCATGCAGACACGGTGTGGGGTATGTGGTGAGCACGCCCATGCCGGCAGAGCACTGTTATGTCCAGACAATTCCAATGTAAAGTCCCTCCTTCCTAATTCTGTTGCTCATCTGCACTTCCTGCTGGAACAGGGGCAATCCAGGTTCTCACTTGTCCTCCCCCCCAGAGAGTCCTGATAACGAACTGTGGTGCTGAGAACACCAATGGCACAGCCTGAGGACAACTCAGAAAGCAGAACATGCTTTTCACCAGTCCAAATTCAAACACTGAGTCATCTTGCCTCAGTTTCCCCCATCTGTGAAACAGATTGCCTCTGCCTCTGAATTAACTAAGTCATAGCTTTTCTGAAGATGAGAACCATGACATCAATTTTTCATTTTCATGTTTTGAAGCTGCAGAAACAACTAGGAAGATGGCTGGCAAAGCAAGCAGCTCTCTTCCCTTTCCTCTCCAGCACTCTGAAAACATCTCCAAATTGCTCCCTCTCTATTACCTTTTGGTTCTTCTTAAGCAGTTCTGAGATGCAAGAGAAATCCAAAACATAACACTTGCATAAAATTCCTGTCTGTCCCTCACAACAGTGCTACTCCCTGTTCACAACAAAAGAACAAGCCAATCACTCAAGCAGGTAGCTTTTCTCATCTCATAAGACACCTCTGAGCCCAGAAATACGTCCATGTTCCAGTTGGGAAAACTAAAGGAGAGACCTTCTGAGCATCCCACCTAGGATACAAAGCAAACAAAAATCACCAAATATCAAAACTTGTCTTAGCACTGCCCTGTACCCAGCAGGCACTCGTCTGCACAGAGAACAGCACACACTGAACACTGGCTGGACTCCACCCAACGTGCCCAGGAGCCCTGTGAAGTTCAGGCTCTGCGAGTGGATCCGCTTCCCAGCCTTCTCCTCTCTGTAGCATGTTTTACACTTGCTCAGGCAAGCAATCGGAATTAGTCCCAAAATCTGGGCTCCTGAGTCCCTGCCCTTCTTCTCCTACTACTTCTTAATTCTGCCCGAAGTGAAAATAAGCCTGGAAGGTGAAGACTGCTTCTTAGAAGAACTCTGCTTGCATCTCATCAGCTATGGCAGCTAGCAAGCTGGGACATGGGGTGGGAAAACGCTCTTGCAGCTCAGACTGGAATGATGCTCCTCCAGTAGCGAGTGTCTCTTAAATCTGTGCTATCCTCTTCTACAAGCCCTACACACAAGATTTTCCAAACAGGCAGAAAACAAAAGGGTAAAATAGACAGCATATAGGAACTTGCCTGAACAGGTCTATTCCCGAGGAAGTTCAGATCCATGTTCTCGCCAAAAAGGTAGCCCTCAGGGTGAGGGGTGTCAAACTTCTCACCTCCCATAAAGAAGTGACTTGCAAAGTAGTTTCCTAGAGAAAAAAAAAAAAAAAAACAAAAACAAAAACAAAAAAAAAAACAAGGGAATGAAAAAAGATCTCTAAATGAGTGCTTCCCAGAGAACAGCCGGTCTGTGCAGTTTTTAATTCACAGTATAAAAGAGCACAAGACAGAGAATACTTGCTAGTTCACTCCTTCCCTGTACTATTGATGGCCACTGCCAACAGTAGAAGCAGGGGGAAAAACCAACCCTAGAACAAATCATTCCAGTAGAAATAATTCCATTTTAACTTGTTTTCCAGAGAAGGGACAGTAAGCTGGCAGTAAGAGTCAGCTCTTTCCAATACTGCTCAATTATGATGAATTATTCCTCTTTTCTCCACCTTCCAGTGTGAAGTCCAGTCCCACAAACACCCTCGACCTGCTCAGAGAAGGATGGGGCTTCCGTCCCTGCAACACCCTGCACAGCCAGAGGGGCTCCCGTCGGGCACAGCCTGCCTCCCCTCCCTTCTTTCACCCCCGTATCCACACAAAAACCCACACAAAACCTTCCCTGTGAGTGCGAGAGACCATATGCCTTGATGCTGAATTTAATTAATAACTCTGACAGTTCTAAATGCAGAAACATGGGTGCCTGTAAGAGACAACCCCTAAACTAAACTCAACCTCAGCTCTGAAAGCTTCACCACAGGATTGTTTCATTCATCGTTAAGGTGACGCACTACAGTTCAAATTTCAGGAGATGAAGCATGTGCAAGACCCCTGAGATTCTGCAGTCAGTCGCATCGATTCAGATGTATGAGAGTATCACAAAAGTTGCTCCTTCCTAGAAAGACTTCACTCTCAGATACGAACCACACGGCGTTAAACTTCAGAGAAGTATCAGGAGAGAACTAAAATAAAAAGCTCCACCCAAGCCATCTCCCTTGAAGTTTCCCAGTGGGGGTTTTTCATGTGTGTGATGAAAGGACTGAGCCAAAGGTACATTCTCTTCCCCAGGTGCAATGCCTACACAGCATAAAACTGGTTTCAAAACGAGTCATTACAGAAGCAGCAACTAATCATCCGAATGGTTATGGAGGCATTACGGAAGGATCTGCAGTCCCCCCAGCTAGCAGTAGGCATGATTTACTCTGAAATGGAAGGGCTCTCATCAACAGCTCTGTTTTTCCATTAAGGCTTTTTTCCTTTATGCTCCAAGAAAGGCTCTTCTTACCCTGCACAGATGGGAGTGCTTTCACGGCGATGGCAGTGCTCAGCTATTGCTGAGCTCAGCTTACAAGCATCCAGATGTTTACAGTATAGAAGCACATCCTTCTTTCCAGATGCAACAGCCAGTTTCAGTGCAGGTCCAGAATCTACCTAGAATCTGCCCTACACAATCAGCATAACAAAATGTAGGTGCTGCAAATGACAGGATATCTTTTCCCACCCCTCCCAGCAGCAACAAATTAAAAAGCTAATCTGCATATAATCTCCAAGCACAGCTGGCTTGGTACAGCCTCTCCACCCAAGATATATCGTGGTGGTTTATGCTTATATTCGGGTTCAGAAAAGCATGATGAACACTGGAGTTTAGGAATAAATTTCACATTTTACGTGGGTTAAGTAGGATTGTGGTTTGGAACATTTCATCAATTAACTGTAAAGACAACACTTGTGCAGGCTGCTGCAGAACCCCAGCAGCTGATTCTCTGGGATCAGAGGCAGACAGCTCCCTCGCATCCCATGGACGAGACATCCTGGGGCTTGACTCACCTCTGTAAACCTATATTGCACAAATTCAGAGCAGAGGTTTTTTTGCAGAAGGTCTGCATCCCAGGTGCAGAGGATGCAGAGGTCCAGCAGGCAAGGACTGCTCGCCACCACCGAAACCCCACGCGTGCGGGGAGCCAGCTCTCTGGGAGAGCATCGCCCGGCAGCCCCTCCAGCACCTTGGGATGAAAATGTCTCTCTCGTACAACTGGAACACCACCAAGATGCACAACTAGCATGTTCAAGGCACCTGCTGCACTGTCTGTGCTCCATGTAGAACTGCTTTTGAGATCTCTAACAAATGGTGAGGATTTCTCACAAACAGACTGTGCTACTCCCCACAACAGAGCAGCCCCTAACTGGAAACCACAGCTTCAACTCCACGCTCAGACGGAAGGCTCCCTTCATCTTCCCAAGTCACCTCCTGCAGCGTGCAGTTTTTCCTCCCAGAGGTGCTTCCTTCACAAGCAAACAAGAACCATAGTCAGTGTAGTTAGTCACAAAGAGCATGAGAAAAATCACTTTGAGGAGCTCAGAGGGGAATCCACTGCGGGGCACAACATCCCTGCACTCCCAGTGCTGCTACAGGTACACCAGCGGCCGCGGACACGAGGTCTGAACAGCAAAACTAACAGAGACTGCAGCAAACTGTCTTCACAAATTTGTAACACAGTTTTTAGCAGCTACAGAAAGATATTCTATTGCAAGCTTTCAGAAATCAGCTGCTAGAACACCACGCTAAGGTAAGACCACAGTTATGCATTACTCCTCTCAACCCGTCACAAGCAACTCCGAGTTTGCCCAAGCTGGAGACAAAACACTCTGTAAACATCACACCAAGGACTACAAGGACAGAGAAACTTCAAGAATGAAAAAATGGGATGTCCTCTTTTCTGGTCACTGTGATGTCCCCACAAGATACAGGATTTTTTAGGTCTCTGAAAGGCTTGTATATATTTTCTATGCATTAAAATCCTGCTGCAGCTCCACCTCTAGGTTCTATTTCCAACTCTAGACAGCTGTAGGCTTTCAGACAGACTACCATGCCTCTTGAACCCTGCTCTCGCACGTCCCCCTGTCCATAAACCAACCTTGACCTACCTTACGCAGGTGTTGCAAGGCCAGCTTTACACAGAGCCCTGTCGCGAAGGACACAAGGGGGATGCTAAGCACCATCCTCTTTGGCAGGAAAAAAAAGAAAAGCAAAAAAATCTTTGGATTGATCCTCCACAGAACTGCTCCAATCAGAAATCCTCCAGGAAAACACAGCAACTCACAAGGAAAGAATCATTCACAAATAACCAAGGAGGAAACACGGTAAGAAACCACAGCAAAGAAAAAATGTGTTTTTGACTTTACTTCCCCAGAGTAACCAGGACAAAACACTGGAGAGCATTAGATAAAAGAATACGAACGGGTGACACCGCTGAAGCAGATTAAGTACCCTACGTGAGTGCCCACTACCTTAGGTAGCAGGTGTAAGAGATTGTTGTGGTGGAAAACGTTACGGTGGCTGGAAAAAAGCCCACTGGGTCACCCAGAACGGCCAAGAACTCGTTGATTCATCCCCTGCAAAACCAAACGGGAACCCAAGGCTTCTCCAAGGTATCAAACAGCAGCTAACTGCTTCACGTTCAGTCCGGGATGGTGCAGGGGTTTTACTGGCATAACGCACCAGCGCTAAGCACCAGCCTGCTCCCTAAGTCATGGTTTCCCAGAGCCAGCATCCTAGCCCGGTGGCCACACAAACCAACACGCGGATGTGATGCACGAGTGACACGGGGGCAGGGAACATACCACCTGCAACGGGCAGGAGCACAGAGCCAGCAACACAACTGCAGCCCCATGAAAACAAGGGCTGTTTTGGACAATCTTCATTAATGGAAAGCAATTACATGTCCATTTAGGCTTCTCACCATTATTAGAATTACCAGTGAAGCAGCAGAAACTGAATCCTTATTAATTACTCAGCCAGACACCTACCACGGCGGCATGCTGAGGGACGGGCTGACAGCACAGTCCTAGACACAGCCTGAGCCAGGACCAGCACCACGGCTGGATGAGGCCAACTCACCTTCCCCATAGCCCATCCCTGCGGGGCGACCAAAAGTGACCAGGTAGCAAACAGGAGCGTGGCTCTGAGCTGGGTTAAATACAATCCAGCAACAAACGAGTCACAAAAGCAACTGCTTGTGCCCCACGAGCGCTCCAGTCTGGTTCTCTGGTTCTCGTGGGTAGCTGGGGAGAAGGCAGGAAGGGCAGGTGTCACCAGGGGGGTGGTGGCCAACTTCCTCCCAGAAACGGCCAGGGTCTGCCATTCTCTTTCAAGAGCCTACTCCAGAGGAGAAAAGCCATCTCAAGGGCACGTGCTCCCTGTGTTGCTCCACACTGCAGATGAGCTCCCTGGAACACGAGACGAGCTGACGAAGGAGCTGCAGAAAGCACTGGTGCATTGCTCACTGGTTGCTAAAGCAATAGGGGCATCCTGAGACTGCATGCGAGAACACGGACCGTTTTACTGCTTCAAGCACTGAAGCACAGCAAAGATCAAGACTGTTCCTTGCAACTACCCATTTTTGGCCCGTTTCATGGAGGTACTAATTCTTCTGTACAAACCAGGCCCTCCTCCAACCCGCTCCCAACTGGTCAGGCATCTACAACACCAGCAGTCTCCATAAAGCAAGAAAGGTTGAAAGGCACCAGCGAAGAGGTATTAGAGAAGGGAATCGGGTGTTGTCTTACAGCACTTCAGCAGCCCCTGCCCCAAGATGCAGGAGGGGAAATGCAGATGGTCCCTACCCAGAGCCTTGGAGGAATAAGCAGGGCATTTTCAGAGGACTTTTAACTACAGAACTGCATACTGGTTGTGACAAAGCTGTTAAACAAATGCCTCATTAGGGACTCTGGCTTATAAAGACCAAGGTGGATTCAACAACAACCTGCTCAATCCTCCAGGGAGCACGTGACTGACACAGCAATAACCACATCAGAAGTCAATAAACGAGAACTAAATATTCACCACCACACTGGCAACCAGCTGTGACTCAACAAGGTGCCAGCACTTCGTAGGACCTGGTAAAGCAGTTGTATGCCTTTTCCCAGGCAGGCTGACGTACTCCCTAAATTACAGCCAGGATATCTGTATTTTATGCTTATTTCCTGGCACAACATGGCCTTCCTCTGAGGTGGTGTATTTGCTCCAGAATGCAAACCCACATCCTTCGAACTGATGCCAGCCATGGACAGCAGCTGACCAGAGCCACAGCAGCTCACCCAG